ATATATATATATATATATACACATACATACATACATACATACATACATACATACACATATACATAAGTATTTATTTTTTAACGCCATGTCAGCAGCTTCATGGTGAAAACAGAATAAATAAAGGTCATCAAATTAACAAAAGGCTATGTAAGACATTTAAGGTGAATCAAATAATGTTTCAAATTTATATTAGTTAGAGTTAGACTAGCATTTTTTGCTGCATCAATTTAAATCAAGAATTGTGGCGGGGGCCAGTAAAAAATTTGGCAGGGCAAGTAAAAATCTGAACCACCGGCCTGACTGGGCCAGTAGAAGAAATCCTTAGCATTGAGCCCTGATTATGCAAATATAATTATGCAAAAATACATTGTATCTCATTTTTGTTGTACATGACATCTCAACACTACTTCAAGAGACCCGAGGTCTCCAAGAACCTGGCAGGATGTCACACACCTGCTGTCCTTATCTGTTCTGTCATTGATGAGGGGAATCCAATGACTCGTCACCTACAGGAAGCCAATGTGATGAGAGACAGCAGAAGCACAAGTAAAATTACATTATACAACCAAACAACTATCAGAAGTTATATAGCAAGGCATGTATTTTGATCGGTAGCTACAGAAAAGCTGTTGCATTCTCATCGTTGCAACTCTAACGTGATCAAAATAAAACCCGAACAAGTACTTTGTCGTGGATCATTGATCCTGCTGTTATATGTAATAGCGCAGGCCTCTGTAGGGCAAAACGGACGGATCAACTTCTGTCAGTGTCAGCCCGAATAAAACCTCTGCTCACAGCGCTTTAACACACAGAGGTGATTCATGCCATCGAGACTAAGCGACTCCGCATATATGAAAGCACTGCTTGCTTTCTTCAGATTCACTTCATGACATTTCTGGGTTCACATTTCAAGCTCACGCCTGAAACGGCTGACCTACAATAACCGGTAACTACGGAACGCAGCTACGGACAACCGCGAATTTCCTTACGCTGGCATGTTCTGTTTACAGTTCGCAGTTATGTTATACCGCCTCCTGTAGGACTGGAGAAGAAAAGCGTGTCAATTATGCAATAAGAAACGAAACCATTTTATAACAGTGAGACATTTTTTTATTAAAATATATTTGACAAAACTTTCAGGCAAACAAAAAACAAACACAAATATTAAACACATGAAGAAGCTTAAGTTGTTTTACAAATTAACTCCGCGATGTAATGTGCTTGACAGAAACCGAAACGTGTCATAGATTAAAAGGCCTAGGCTTGTTTTATTAATTTTTTCCTTTTTATTCGAAATATTCCCAAACGTGTGAACTAAGCTATATCATGAAATATCTCGATTCTACAATATGTATAAGTAAATGCATTTTGCACCTTAATAGATTATGTCAGTTGACCCATAATGGGCGATGGGCAAAGTAGCATAATAGTAAAACCCCGTCTTTTTACTAAGTACCAGATATGGGTGTCATTCCATAAAATATCTTTAATACGACTGACTTTGTATTTAATGTGAATTTAATAAAAACATTGTACGTTACTAATGATAACATTTTCATTGCACAGAAAGAGAGGAAAGAACATTTACATGATCAAAAACATTATCACTGACTTCAGTCTAGCCAGAGTTCAGACGATCTCAAAAACTCCCATTATAATCACTGAAGCCATTTACACTGTGAAATTAATATCTTACTTACATTCCTATGCACATCTGCACTTTATTGTATATGATGAGAGAATTCGCGAGAGAGCAGAGAATTCTCGCGCACTGAACAAAACTCCTGCAGTTTCAGCGATGACTCATCTGGACACCTCTGATTGGCCATTGCATTCATAAGCTCAACAGAATCGAGTGTGATTGGTTTTAATGCGCAGCGCTGTAAAAACGTGTCTGTCTTTTCTGTCTCTGCGCAGCAGCTGATGAGGTTTTACTTTTTCCCATTACTGTCCCCCACAGGACAAACTGCGCATTGAACCCAAAATAGTTTGGTGTAAAATGATTTCCAACCATATATTTGCGGTGTGACTAGACTTTTTTGCTCCATTTGTAAAAGTTTGTCTCTGCTGAACAACATTAACAAAAAAGCATCAAACTGTTTTGCTGGTCTTAGCTGATTTAAGATGGTTTCCCAGCCTTTAAGCTCCAAATTGTCCAATAATATAATATAATCGTAATCTAGCTATATGAACATAATGCTAAAGTTATCAGTTAGTGAAAAAAATGACATGCACCACGCTAGCAACAAAAAGAACAACCGAAGATATGGGTAAATAAAAACCGGCCAAATGTCAGTTTATGAAACCCAGGTGTTCTATGATTAGCATTTTCATCACACACTTCGTCACTTGCATGTCTCCATTTCTGTACAACCATAATTCCTTATTTTTAGTTTCTATTTGGTGTTTGAGCTCCTGCATGTGGATTCACAGTTACACGTGAGTCTAATTCGGTTCTCACTAAGATGATATTCTCGTCTTGGCCAAGGCTTGTTTCAGGATCTCTACTTGTATTGAGAGCCCAGATCTTATCCATCTTCAGACGTAGTCATATTCTTTGTGCTCCTTTTAGAGAGCTCAACCAGTCAGTCTATCCTCATCTGACCTACTGCAGTCTTCTCAGATTGGTTTCACATCCCAAAATGCACCAAGTGAGAATTTTTTTTAAACTGCTTGTTAGAAACAATGCCCCAAAAAAGTCACATTCTTCCACAGTTCCCTTTGAGTAAATCAGGTCTGGGACTCAAATGTTTTAACCCTAGATTTACCTAGAATGTCAGGGTTCATTTGAAATAGATTTAGTGACAGAGTCTGAGCTTATTGTCCCATCCAGTCATTGCCTTCACCTCCGTCTACGAATATTGGCTTCGGCTGAAAAGAGACAGAGTGTAATTTATTAACACCTCATTTATGTTTTGTTTTGTTATATTTAATTAGCACATCTGATAAGAGTGTTATAATCTTACTGGTGTAATCTTGCGGCATCATGGGTTTGGAGATGACGGTTTTCAGGGCCTCCACCCACCCTCTCTGATCGCGTTCCTGCTCGCACATGAAGACGAACTGCCGATCTGGCGTCTCCACAATTACCCCACACTTCCATTTGTTGCCTCTCGTCCCTTTAGGGACACACTCTCTCACTGAATATCCATGATTCTCTGAGCCAATGAAAACTACCCCAAGCTCAATGGCATCCTTTAGGACAAAAAGAAAAGAAAATTCACACTACTCCCTCAACAGTTTCATGTAGCACTTGTATGACACTTACGTGTTTAGAGTTTTGCTGAACTACAAAACACTGACACAGTAAGAAAGGGAAAAATTCATTCATACCAGCTGTGTTTTAAAATAGAGTAGTTTCCTGTTCAGGGAATCCAAAATAAACCATCTTTTCTTGAATGGCTCTCGCTGCTGTTCAACATATAAAAACAAATAACACTGGCTGTTTGTGTATCGAATTACTTTTAAATTCATTTCAAAATTTCAGACTTTTAACATCCGTCACATAAGTGGTAGTACAATTATTTATATAAATTATAGTTACAATAGAATAGCATACAGATGTTGGAACTATATAAAAAATGGACACAGTGGTATGACTTGAAATGGTGAGTGTGTAAAGAGGTGTGTAAGCCGGAGTGTTTTACAAGAATAGCCTGATTTATCCTTAAATGCTTGTGCAATTTAAGAGCAAATACAAACACCTTGCTACACTGGAAAATCTAGATTTTAAAATATGCAAAGAATCAACATAGAGTGAACCATCTAGGGGGAAAAACTCTTACCAGTGGGCCAGTCTTCTCCATGTAACCCTCTTTTAAATAGTTTCTGGTTATCCATGGTATTAGCTTAAGACAAAATTGGTAAAAGAGTTTATAATCAAGATAATAATGAATGCATCATTAATCCAAGAAAAAAAAAATGTTGCTCACCAACTGTTTCACAGAGCTTTGGTTATTTTTAGATTAAATTTAAATCATATTTCTAGCAGTAAACTTTTGTTTACATATTTATAATTATTATTTTTATATTATTATTTCATATTTATTATTTTGTACCATTTTATCTGTAACACCAATAAACCACAAAGTGAAACTCTTTTGTGTAATGCTAACACTACAGAGCTGAACAAGATTTCAATACTGCAAAAATGTATATTTAACATCATGTGTGTTGAAGACATGAAGTGTTCATCTCTGTTGACTGCAAGATTAATAGTTTACATGCCAAGCCATATCTGTTTTAAATACTGCGATAACTTAACTGATCATTATGTGCAACATTGAATGAGTCGTGCAGCTCTGTTGAATGTGAGATCAAACAGTTCGCATGCTTAAACTATCTGGTTCTGAATACTGCAATAACTTAACTGAACATTTTGTGTACTGTGAACATGAGTCGTGTAACTGACTGCTGAATGCGAGACGTCTTTTGTATTTATTTTTTTTTTCTCCCTATGCACCCAAAGGATTGCATTCAATTTCGTTGTACTTGTACAATGACAATAAAGTCATTCATTCAAGATGAACATGTTGCACAAATGTCATTGACCCAAATTAAGTTTATATCTACTGTGATTTTCAGTGATGATTCACAGTACAATTTGTTCCTGAATTAGCCTAGAAAACTAGTCAGTTACAAGACACATAGAGCATTCTGTCAGCTAACCAACTAAAATAAACACATTTCTTGTTTAGGAATACAGCAATTCACAAAACACCAAAACCACATTTCTGTGTCCTGTTAACATTGTGGTGTAGAGTGTTTGTTTGACGATCATTTATTTTGTGAAATAGAAGGGAAGACAGGACTTAAGCTGTTAGGTTTTAGGAAGTAAAATCACTTGGAAAAGGAGAAACTTGCAGTACTTCCTTTTTATGTGGCAATGTTAACACAACTATGACAGGAGAAAACGCTACACATTTATAAGATATTAAAAAGCTACGTAAAGCAAACTGAAAGCACTGCGGTGACACATTGTACTCTATTAAGTCAAAAACCTAGTATACAAAATGTACTTACATCTCCATCGCTAGCTGTAGGAAAGGCTGTTTTCAGGTAGACATGGCGAATAGCTCTAATGGCATTAAACCAATTGACAATCTCCTAAAATGGAGAAAATACAGAGCAGATACTATTTAGTGCTCAAGCTGCCTTTGAAACTGGTTCAGCTTGAGGAGGAAAAACAAAGAAAAACTTGAAATCTGAACTACAGTTGCACAATTCTTGGGAATAGAGCAGAAAAAATCCAGAGGTTTAACCTGTCCATTTTTGTGGTAAACAAAAAGGTTTCTGGTGTGATGATCCACACAGTAGGTGATCTGAAGGCCATAAGCATGTCCTATCTTCTCCGGCTGGAAGGTTGCATTCAGGTCCTTCACAGAAATAGTAGCCTTTGGTCCCTTAGATTCCTGAAAAGCACAGCTATTGTTTAATGAATAGCTTATTTGTGCACCTAATACATCATTAGATTCTATTATTTTTCAATCAAAGTTCAAATATTTAAAAAATACAGCTAGAATTGTGTTGAATCGTGATGATTAATGCATACTATTAGCTTTGATGGACTTAAATGTCATGTTGTTATTCGCAGTCTGCACTGCATTTTACAACAAATGCCTTCAGTAAAATATAATATTTCATTCTTGATGATGTGCAAACGTCATTGCTCAACAAAAAGTTCTCACATCCTCCTTGTAATATTTGAGGGTAAAATCGTGCACTGAAAGAACAAACTTCCTCTCGAGAAACTGTCCGTTATCCTTTCCTTTCTTCCACAGCATGCCCTCATAGACACCTAGAGCAAGGCAAATAATTTTGTTGAAAGATTAATGTTATCATCATTAATATTAGCAGAGATGAAACGGAATAAAGTAAATAAACCTGTAAAGAACAAAGATTAAAAGAAAACATCTGGGAACTGAAATGGATTACCTGCTGTGTAAGGTCTTTCTCTATTTTTCTCTGTAAACTCCATTCTTTCGTATTTGGCTCGAATCCATTGTTCTCTGAGGACCCTATGCAGTGTACATGGAATACATTTTGTTGAGCTAAATGCTGGAAATAATTGATGTATAAATTACATACAGTACATATGAAAGTCTGAAGGTACACTTACTATTTTATCATAACAAACAGATAATACTGGTTTAGCTGAATATGACCATATATTAAACAAATGCAAGTACAATGCAGCATATTAAGAATCGAAAGTACAGTTGACAGAATCAAACGGCTGGACTTCATTACCAGAAACCCCTTTTAGATGAATCAGTAGTTCCTCTTACTGTGACCAACAATAGTACAGTGCTTTTTTTTTTTGCCGGTACGAAGTTTGCTTGATCAGCTATTTATTTAAACTTCCCAAAACAGAGATCTGTTCCATTATGATGATAAATTAGTAAGTATGCGTTTCAGTTTTAAATTAATGTATGCTTTTGCTCGACTTTTCAGTCAACAGAAGAGGTTGGACTACTTACTCGCAATCGTCTGGTTGGGGCTGATAATAAAAGACTGGGACAAATTTCTCATAGAAGTTTTTGGCAGCACGGTTTCCATTGGCCTTCATGAACTTCTCAAATCCAAAAATGCATTGAAAGGAAACGCAACAGTGTTAGGGTTCACATTCATGGTCTACTGTAACCATTCAAATTTTTCTAAATTAAAACAGTAACCACACAAAAACTAACATGCAATAACAAATATCTTATCATTTGAATTTTGAGTTCACATACCTGCACAAGCTCATCATCCCAGAAGTCTAAGCGTATAGACTTGATACGACTTACAGAAGGAAGATTGCGATGAGTTCCAGAACAGTTTAGACACACAAAAATTCCCAGTGTGCATGAAGCCCAATCTGGATCTTCAAATAACAAGAGTCAAACAAACATATAAATAACCCAGTTCCCACAACCAGGGAAAAACAGGACATGTTGTCAAGCAATTTTAGGAAAAATCATGAAAATAAGGACTTTCTTTTTTTCTTTTCTTTTACAAATACATCATTTTTTTAAATTCAATCATCAGCTAGAAAATGAATCGTTTGAGATTAATCTCCATACAATGTTAGAAAAGTTAAATTTTATAGATCTCTACACAGTTTTAACTCTATACCTTTTCTCTATAATCCCTATACAATTACAGAAAAGTCAGAAAAGCATGGAAATGGAAATTCATGGTTTAAAAAGCGTGTAAGCCCTGCTAAACCTTCGTTGACAAGCATTTCAAAATAAATGTAAGCTAAAATGCTACTGGTTTCATAACAAATGCCAGTTTTACTGAAGCCAGTTACAGTGATCGAACCATGACAACGAGGAGCTGTTTACTCACGGCTACTACGAACACCTACAGAACTGTAACTTTAAACTATGATAAACAGGCTGTCAGGATATTAAGCCAGAGAATCCCAATGAAAGTACAGAAAGAACTGCTGGCTGCGAGTTCAGCCGTTTAAAGCGGCGGTGACTCTACTGTTCTTACCTGCAGCTCCACAGTCAGCACAGCAGCAGTTCTGTGACAGCTTCGCCAACTCTAGAAGTGTCTTTTTGTTCTTTTCCCGATTTGCCATAGGCGAAATGCTTTTAAAAACATAGGTAGTAGGTTCACCTCTCTTGTGTGTTACAGGGCGCGGTTTCACGCTTTTACTTGACGCTCATTCAGTGCCTCGACCGCGCAGCGCTCCGCTCGCGTCTGATTCGAAACTCAAATGCGCTTGAGCGCGCGCGGTGAGGTGCTGCGGCTGGACTATCAAGCGAGGTCTTCCGCAAGCATTTAATTACTAAAAAAAACCTTCGTGTTCACTTCCTGGAGAAAACAAACTTAAAATTAAATAATCACTTTAACATCAATTACTCCATAAGTAGGAGCAACACCAAACACCAACCCATTGTGGACAATTCTTGTGATTAATACGATTAAAATATTAAATGTAATATTACACTTGTACCAAACAAACCATGAGATTATCAAGACTGACATCCCGTAGGTGCCAACAGCCACATATTTTTGCAAGCTGGTAAATATACTCCAGTCACACACTGAAACTGCATACAGAACAAAATGCTGCATTTACTGGTTTAACAGGTGTAGTTATCTTCCTAGATTCAAGTGGACTACAACCAGACCATTTAGGAGATGAGGAAGTGAAAAGTGTGCTTCGGTTTGACATACAAACAATGTACCTTCAATGTACCTTCTCAGATCACGCAAAGGTGTGTATGAAAAAATACACAAACTACAAAAATTCAAACAGCACCATTCATGTTCACAGAGTTATTGGAATTTACATACATATTTTGAGAATAACATGTTTGCTGGCAAATAGCAAATCGACATTTATTACTTCATAAAACATTTCGGAAGATGCATGACAAAGTACAAAACAAATGATCTTCATAATGGAAACATCTCATTTAAAACAACAGTACAAATATGTGGGGTCCACACAACAACATAAAACCACACTCTTTCTGAGTATATATTACTGTACAAATGCATATTCCCAGCAGCCTTTAAGCGGCTGCCTAAAAATGTGTGTAATTTAAGGGAACTCGGAAGCCAGGAACTCCATTGTGCTTTTAGGAAGACTGAAGTGTATTCCATCCAAATAGTGCAAGAACCTTTACAAGAGGGGGGGGGGGGGGG